GACTATGGAGGAATACTAATGTCAGCTCCTCGATAGCATGATTTCTCACAGACTCATACACTGAAAAAGGTGAAAGCCAGAGATAGTCGTCTACGCGAGTACGTTAACTTGATGGCAGCCAATCGGAATCACCGACTCAAAGTAACGAATAATTTTCCTCACAATTCGCTGAATCAGGAATTCGAAACCAGGGAATCACTTTGATAAAGTTGTGGTTAAAAAATTTTGGTTTTGTGTAGGTCCCAGTTGGTTGAAGAAGTGTCACCTGGAGCTTCCAGTAAATCACTTTGTGCCTATAACTTCCCCGCCTAATGGTGTAACCTTCCGCATTTGAAGGCAGACATTCGGATTCCACTATGGTTGACTATGAGAACGGTCGTTTCTTTGGATGAACCAGGGCAAATTTTTCCCAGCTGTTTGTCAGCCGATCTGTAAGAGCTTGGAAAAGGAAGTCAGCCGAGCATCATCATTGGTATGATGGATTTGTTGTTGTTGCTTTATGAAGGACTTAAAATAGGTTGCGATGTCATAGTACTGGCGAATGGTTAGAATTGTTAAGCTGATTTGTTGGATGAACCACCACCGTTCTTCTAGGTAAAGTAGTAAATTTCCGTTTAAATGCCGACTGCCACATCCTATTCCAGATAAACATTGAGGTAACAGAAGGTCTTACTCGAAGGACTGTGACCTGATGCAAATCAGAGACCATATTTTTTGAGAGAGTGCTAACGGAATACCTTCGCATGAAACCATCGTCATTGCCTAAGCCAACCACGTAACTTTATTCTCCGCAGTGGATCTGTGTTGGATAAGAGTCAGTTTGGGAAGAAATGAACTTATTTGAGGCGAGTACTTAGCATCAAACGTTTGCAATAAAGCAGTCGCGGTGTTAACAGCATTTCGTCGTTTTCCGCTAACCAACCTTTTCTTTTTGAAAAAATCGTCCCAGAATACTCTGGTCTCGCTATAATAATCGGCTTTATCTAGAGTCCTGTTGTTACAGCCCCTTAATAACACCGTCGCCTTCTGTCCAACTGCTGCCTAAATTGCCACGGCAAGTCCTCTACCCCAGAAGAATAAGTGATGAGGAACACCGAGACCCCATCTCCCCTTAGTCCATCTGACACGCACCCTTCAGTGATTCCTCCTTCTCGTCATGTTCTTTCTATTCACACGCTGATCGGCTGCAGATAAACTCCATGGCTGGACAGACAATTAAAATTTACGCATTAACGGGAGCTGATTGATTTGTGCAAAAGACTCACGAAACAACCAAACAAATGGATCCACCCTCCCTCCTCAGGTATTTTCCCACCACAGTGTGTCCCTCTGGGTGAGGAGTGGGAGGTAAGAGGGGGATTGAAACAGCTCATGAAAAACCGATGGGACATTTTAACCAACGCGTTCGTTAGGGAAGTAAAATCGCCTTTTATTCGATTAAGTTATACTGAGGAAGGGAATTTCAGTGAGATTATCACTACAATTCACTGGCTGCTAAGTAAGCCTTGTCAGCCTCAGTACGAGGTTTTTCTGTTCTTTCAGGTAGTACGATCTGGCTGCAGAAGCATTTGTTGAAGACCTATACTACGCGAAGTACCCAAGGAAGAAATATGTCCAGAGATGGCAGACCCGACCGTTTACTTGGTAGCTCAATAAAGTTTTTTTTAATGCCGAAGAGGTGTATCTGGTGTACAAGGTAACAAGTCAGTTTACATATCTTTGCTACACATTGAACGAACATAGTACCATGAAGTGCATTCAAGTAAATTGACTGAATCAAATTTGCTCACGCTTGTTTCGTCCGTTTGCTGCTCTCGTTAAGAGCCTGTAGAGGCCCTAGGACGACTGGTTACCGGACGTAAATCAGCAGTATTTACTACAAATTCATCAGAGATAAGCGAAAAATTTGCTCACGTAACTTAAAAATAAGATGTTCCAATTCCCTCTTCATTCGTCGAAGTTGCCTGATGAGCTCACGGAAAAGCCAACAGTCACGCGACTAGTTGAGTAAATTTTAATCCACCTCGACAACATAGGGAGTTTGTGCACTTGTAAAATTACTTTGCCGTTCCAACTTTTTTCCAACTACTTACCTTCGGAGCACTTTACTGGCAGCTAAAATTCGCGCTCACAATAGGTATACGGTGGCTTCTTGATGAATCATACCATAGAGAATTCGATGTCTGGACCTGGGATAAACCACAAACTTGATTGATGCTTGAAAACCATTGCACAAAGATACCGATGTGAGCATAGATTCTGTCGACTAATATTTAATTGCATCTCGGGCGGTGAAAAAATTTGCTTTCTAGTTGTTTCGGCCAGTATGCTACTATTACGGAACGTTGCATAGCGATCAAATCTATTTAATATCTAAAGAGACACTGTAATAAGGCAGATGAGAATGCGATCACCAATTTTTCGAGACGACTAAATTAATGAAATTTGATCTGGAAATTAAGCGTAACATTTTACAACAGAACTCAGTTTATGGCCCCGATTTTCAAGATGAATAATTTTAGCAGTTAGTTAAATATTTACGAAAATACTTTTCAGTATGCAACAAAGATTGTGAACAGCCAGACACGCTCAAAAGTCGTTTACAGAAACGTCGTGGAGGCACAAAACTCTCAGTAGAGATCAGATAGATTAAGCTATCTCCAATTAAAAAAGTCGAAACAAATATGCAAAAGCTAAGTGTTATCGGGATGGACATCGTTGCTGAAGATATCTACGACTGATAAGCACTTTCTCCAAAAATCTCCCGTTAAAGCTAAGCTCTTCTTCAGATGAAACTGGTGAAAATTTTATTAGATTGCTTGCTACTTGAATAATTAACACTAATCCAGAACTCATTTTCGCAATTGTCGAATCCTAAAATTGAATAGATCTACATATGCGCTGTTTAATTAGATGAACACGCTCTTGTTTCACTGCAAGTATTTTGTGGCGTAAGCGCGTGCATTCGAGTAATTATACACTGTATCTAAGTGCTGCATGTTTTCAATAGTAGAAGGTCATAAAATTTGGCTCAAGTAGATGTTGAGATCTTACAAAGCCTAAAGGATTATTTCCACAACGGAAAAAGCTGAAAATGAGTGGTTTGCTTGCAAAAATGTAGAACTCTGATAGTCAACAGCCAGTAACCATCCGAAAACACGACCAAGTCGGGCAACAGAAAATGCGAATGTTCCTTAGCGTCAGACCAGCCAAGTGTCTTTTTATGAGTGCGTGAGCGTGGTTGTAGATTGTCGTCTGCATCAATAATAATTAACATCAGATAAACTCTTGAACAAGCTTCAATCATGAGCGTTCTCTGACATTTCACTAATAATCAAAATATTAGATTTAAGACTACAATAATTTTTGAAGCTTAAAGTTAGTTTTCTGTACTGAAGGTGATTTAATAGTTGTCCGTAGACAAAATATTCGAAACAAAGAAGTGACGTCACACACATAGTGACTGTCATATTTTCATACCTTAGGGCCACGACGTGATGTCAGTTGTAGCATTTGTGAATTTGGCAATTAGTCCCACTTTAGAGGTTTTTTTTTTCTCAAAATTATGATAAGTTGGGAGGCAATCCAACTTCCGATCAAGTTCTGTTTAGAAATTACATCAATCACAATATTAGGCATGCCAACAGGAAGACGACCAGGGCGACAGAAAAAGTCCTCATTGATATCTTACCAAAGAAAAACAGTTTTTTGGGACGACTGCAATATGAAGTGAGTATAAAAACGTTAATTTCAAAAGTAAAGAAGTATGTATGGCCAGATGAAATGAACAGATTAAATTTTCGGACTAAATAACTTCAACCTTTCTAGTGCACCAAGGAGAGATT